TAATTAATATTAAATAAAATTTAAAAATTGGTTCTTCTGTCTCACTAGTCACATTTCAAGTGACAACCATTTTGAGTAGTACAAAACATACATTCCCAGGCAGGCACGGTGGTGAATACCTGTAGTCCTAGTACTTAGAATGCTGAAGCAGGAGAATTGCCATGAGTTTGAGGCCAGCCAATACTATATAGCAAGACTATATAAAACAAATTAATTAATATTAAATAAAATTTAAAAATTGGTTCTTCTGTCTCACTAGTCACATTTCAAGTGACAACCATTTTGAGTAGTACAAAACATACATTCCCAGGCAGGCACGGTGGTGAATACCTGTAGTCCTAGTACTTAGAATGCTGAAGCAGGAGAATTGCCATGAGTTTGAGGCCAGCCAATACTATATAGCAAGACTATATAAAACAAAACGATACATTTCCATCACTACAGGTCTAATGGATAATACAGTTCTAGACTGATGAGAAAAGTATATGAAGATGTTTACTCGAAAACCTATTTTGTAGGGGCTGGAGAGATGGCTCCACTGAGCTTGTGTAGCACTTGCAGAGGATTCAAGTTTGGGTTCCAGCACCCACATCAGGCAGTTCACAACCACCCATAACTCTAGCTGCAAAGGATCTGACACCCTTTTCTGGCTTCTGTGGGCACTTGCACATACATGTACATACCCACATGCAGATACACACATACACACATAATTAAAACAAAAAATAAATCAGTGCTAGGAGTGGTATCACACACCTTTAGTCCCAGCACTCAGGAGGCAGAGGCAGGTGGATCTTTGTGAGTTCAAGGCCAGCCTGGTCTACATAGTTCCAGGCCAGCTGGGGATACAGGGAGACCCTGTCTCAAAAAGAACACCTCCCACAAAAAAAAACCCTTAAAAAAAAGAAACAAAATTATTTTGCCAGCTAAAAGGGCTAGGCCAGAAAATGTAGACATTAGTAAATACACTACCACTCTAGCACCCAACCCTAGTTTTTAAAAAATCTTATAGACTCTAAGTACTATTAAGTGTGTTAAGAGTGGAGTAAAAATATTATCAGAACTCCCTTAAAAGTCAGGTGATGTTCAACTATAATCCCAGCATGAGGGAGGCTGTAGCCAGGAGAATTCCCACTTGAGTTCACCAAGAAAGCAGCCTGTGAAATCTAAGGGCAGGGTTTAATACCTTGGGTCCATTCCTTGCATTACAATCTCATCTTGCTTGCACTCCATCATATCATTCGTAAACATAGCATGGAAGTATGGGATGGAGGCTGCTAAGACGATCCGGTGAGCACTGAATTTGTGGTCCCCAATCTGTTGGCAAAGGAAAATACAAAGACAAATATTGAGAAGCACAAACAAAAACACAATTAGCCCCTTCCACAGTTTACTCCTCTGTTCGCTAGGTGAAGGCAGGCCAGGCATGGTGGCCCATGCCTTTAATCCCAGCACTTAGGTGGCAGAGGCAGGTGGATCTCTGTGAGATCAAGGCCAGCCTGATCTACATAGCAAGTTCCAAGTCCTGGGACTACAGGACATGACAGAGAAGGCTTATCAGAGACCCAGGAGGATTTAAAATTCAATATACTCAAATATAGTGAAAGAATGTAAACACCACACTTCAATGAGGTGTAAATATGGTAAAACAAATATAAGCTTGAATGTTTCCAATGCTGGTTTTTATTTACACAGCAGCTTCCAATGAACTCCTCATAACTCCATCAACTTAAATACCTACTGCTTCAACAATTTATTTGAACTCCAGTTTTATTAAAAGACAGATGGAACAGAAAAATTATCTAAGCTGGGGTTCTTAAAAGCATGTTCTCCAAGAAAAACAAAAACATACTGACAGGAAGAGGTGAAGTGAAATGAGACCAGACTAAACAGAGGATGACAAGCAGCCTATGACGCCTCTTGGGAAACTAACCCTGGCAGTAGCCAACTGGAATGACCTGTGCTTCAGACAAGCTGGTACTCCAAATGGTCCAGAAGGACAGAGGCCAATTCTTTCTCCAATCTGTATCAAACCCTCCAAGCTACATAAACATTTCCACTTAAGAACTTTCTGTTCTCCAGAAAGAGCAAAATGGTTTTTTGTTTTGTCTTTCTTTCATTTTCTTTTGTTCTTTCCCTTTCTTCAGGTTCTGGATTAGTGAAATGAATGCCAGGGCATCTCACACCTTATGCTCATCCCTTTGTGTCACATTTACTCAAGGACTCTAGCTTAGGTCTGTCACCATGTCTTTTCCACTGAACTTATCTATGAACAGTCCTTCAGATCATGCACATAATCTTCCAAATGACAAACAATGCTTATCAGATTTAGTTTCTAATAGTTCCTCACACAATCCAGATATTGCTGGGGACATTAAAAAGCTACACACTTTGGGGGCTGTATTGTATTTTTTTTTTTAAATCATACATATGGGGCTGGAGAGATGGCTCAGCGGTTAAGAACACTGGTTGTTCTTGCAGAAGACCTGGATTTGATTCCCAGCACCCACATGGCAGCTAACAACTGTCCGTAACTCCTTTTCCAGGGGATCCGACAACCTCTTCTGTCCTCCGCAGGCATTTCATGACACTGGTGCACTTACCTACATGCAGGCGTAACACTCATACACATAAAATAAAAATACTAATAAAATATTTTTAAAAAATCATACATATGGACTTAACATATATTTTTAAAGATTTATTTTTACTTGTGTTTGACTGTATGCCATGAACGATTGGGTACCTGTGGAGACTACAAGAAGTCATCAGGTCCCCTGGAGCTGGAGTTATAGGTGGTTATGAGCTGCCCAGTGTTGGTGTTGGGAATCAAACTCAGGTCCTCTGCAAGAGCAGTAAATGTTCTTAATCATTGAGCCATCTCTCCAGACTCCTCTCTTTTTTTTCAGACAGGGTCTTGTTATGTCACATAGGCCTGCCTCCAATTCACAAAGTTCTTGCCTCAGCCTAAGTACTGGGATTACAGGCATGTGTCACCATGACCGGTTACGTATTACTTCTAGAACTTTCACTTAAAACTATTACATGTGGTAGCCAACTTCCACACAGCCCACAATAACTCCTTCCTTCAAGTATCCATGCATTTGTGCAGTCCTCCTCTACAATTATCAGTGTTTGTCTATGTGACCAACAGAACACAGCAGAATGACCCTCAAAGCTAGACCACCAAAGGCACTGAAATTCCTTATTCGATCTTCTGGATCTTTCTGTCTGGGGGAAGCTGAGGAAAGTCATATCCTAAGGTCTGGATGAACAGAGGTTGAAGCTTCCTTCTGTAGCTACCTAAGTGGTGGGAAGAGGACCTACCACCCCAGGCAAGCCTTCCTTTGACTGCAGCCCTGCTGACATGCAGACTGCAACTTCTCGAGACTTCTAAGTTGCTTTTTAAAAATTAAAAAAAATTTTTTTATTTTATGTGTATGAGTGTATTGCCTGCATGTAGGTAAGTGCACCTGTGTCATGCAGTGCCTGCGGAGGACAGAAGAGGCTGTCAGATCCGACAGTTGTTAGCTGCCATGTGGGTGCTGGGAGTCAAACCCAGGTCTTCTGTAAGAACAACCAGTGTTCTTAACCACTGAGCCATCTCTCCAGCCCCACTTTTGAATTCTTAACCCACAAAAGATGTGAGATAGTAAATACTTGTTTTAAGTCATTAAATTTGGGGGTAATTTGTCATTGAGCAAACAATGACTACTACATTATTGCATTAGCCAGTTTCTCATCACTGTGATAAATAACTAGGAGAAACAATTTAAAGGAAGAAAGGGTTTTGGTTTATGAGTTCTACTGCTTTGAGCTAGAAGCAAGGCAGCCTTTGATAGTACTGGAAGTTTGTGGTAAAGGAGGCTGCTCATCTCTTGGCAGTGAGGAAGTGAAGGGGAGGAAGAAGAGGAAGGAGGATGAGGAAGAGAAGGAAGAGAAGAAGAGGAGCAGGAAGAGGGGAGAGGACAGAGGAGGAAAGAAAAGAGAGGGAGGAAAGACAAGGGTCAGTGACAAGGTGTATCTTCACAGGACATGCTCCCAGTGACTTACTTCCTCCAACTAAGGGCACCTACTTTCCACCACCTTCCAGTAATGCTGTCCTGTTATTTATATATCAAGTGATTAATGCATCAATTTGTCAAAATCCCCATGATCCAAACCTCTTCAATAATTGGGGCTACCAGCTAGGAACATACCTTCAACATATGAAGTTTTTATTGTTTTTTTTTTTAAAGTGGGAAAGGGTATTTCATGACCCTGAACCCCTGATCCTCCTTGTCTCTGCATCCGAAGTGCAGGAATTACAAGCATGTGCCAGCTCAAAGGAACAGTATGTTCATGATTTTCACATATGAGCAGTGGAGCTACAGTGCATATGTATGTAAGTTATGCACTGATTTTATTATTTTTTTAATTTTAATTTTTTAAAAATTTTATTTATTATTTTTATTTTATGTGTATGCGTGTTATTGCCTGCATGTAGGTAAGTGCACCCGTGTTGTGCAATGCCCTCAGGTCAGAAGAGGCTGTTGGATCCCCTGGGACTGGAGTTAGAGAGTTGTTAGCTGCCATGTGGGTGCTGGGATTCAAACCCAGGTCTTCTGCAAGAACAACCAGTGTTCTTAACCACTGAGCCATCTCTCCAGCCCCAGTTACCCACTGATTTTAGAACCTACTCTCTCTTCTTTGTGTAACTCCACCATCTCTTTTAACTTCCTAAACAGCATTGTTGATAAGTATTAAAGTTATAGGGGCTAAATCACAGAGAGCAGTGCAGAGGAACCTGACAGGAAAGCAGGAGTGCTTCCGTCTCAGTTTTCAGAGCATATTATGCAGAGCCTCATTCAGAATGAGGCTCTGTGTCCACTTTTTTTTATAAGTCAAGTGGCATGGATGCTGAGTCTTCACTGTGGTTTTATTAGAAATCATTTGGGCTTTCTAGTAAGAATTGATTTTTTTTTTTTTCCTAGAAGCTGCTGAGAGTATCAAGCCCTCAGAAACACACCGTGAACATTCTAAGTACTATATTCATGTTAGCAGCCATGGTGGGAAAGTTCTAATTACTCATCTCTTTTTTTTACATTTTTTTCGTCTTCTGGTGTTGGGGATCAAACCTGGGACCTTGTGCATCCTAAGCAAGTACTCTACCACTGGCTATATCACCAGTCTGGCAGGAGGATCTAAAGTTTGAGGCTAGACAGTACTACATACATAGCAAGTTCCAGACTAGTTTCAGCTATGTAGTAAGGCCCTGTCTCAAAAAAAACCCAAAATAAGATAGGTTAAAAATAAAAAATAAAAAAAATAAAAGACTGTGTAGAAAAATAAATAAAAGTTGTCATAGTGGCACACACCATTTATCCCTGGCTTCAGAAGGAGGAGGAGGCAGGAGGATCTCTGTGAGTTTGAGGCCAGCCTGGTCTACATAGTGAATTCTAAGCTAGTCATGGGTATACAGTAAAACCCTTGTGTGGTGGTTTGAATGAGAAATGTCCCCTATAGGCTCAAGTATTTGAACACTTGGTCCCCAGTTAGTGGTGCAGTTTGCTGGAGGAAGTATATCACTGGGAGCATGCTTTAAGAGTTCATAGCTTTGCCCCACTTCCATTCTTGTTTTATTTTTTTATTTTTTATTTTTTTGTCTTTTTGAGACAGGGTCTCCCTGTAGCCCCAGCTGTCCTGGAACTCGCTATGTAGGCCAGGCTGGCCTTGAACTCACAGAGATCTGCCTGCCTCTGCCTCCCGAGTGCTGGTATTAAAGGCATGCACCATCACACCCAGCCCGGTTCATATTTTTTAAAAATATTTTATTTATTTTTATTTTGTGTCTATGCATGTATTGCCTGCATGTGTGTAAGTGCACCCATGTCATGCAATGCCTGCAGAGGTCAGAAGAGGGCGTTGGATTCCCTAGAACTGGAGTTACAGACAGTTGTTAGCTGCCATGTGGGTGCTGGGATTCAAACCTAGATCTTCTGTAAGAACAGCCAGTGTTCTTAATCCCTGAACCATCTCTCCAGCCCCAAGTTCACATTTTTTATTATGATGGCATTGACATACTTTTGAAAAGTAACTGTACATGCATAAAAGATACTTATCCAGCCTACAGACTGGTGCACATGTGGATTTGGGAGACTTGAACCCCTATCAGGAGCTCCCCCAGATTAGTCAATCTAAGACCATGAATAAACAAAAGCAATCAGGAATCCTGGACTGCCTCATTGTTCCCCTCAGATCTGACTTGTTTCTACATACATGCACCTTCCCATTTTCTTCCTTGGAAAGACTGGGAAACTGCATTCCTAACTCTGCAT